AAGAGTGACTGGTGGGTTTTGGGCGCCGTGGGGGGGGTGGGGGGCAACAGATGTGAATCCTAAGCGGTATACATGCAAAATGTCTACCTTAGTGATAGAACACTGTAGAAACAAAATTAAAGTGACTCTACTCAGGAGTTAAACAGGTCCAAGCCCCCTCCCGTGATGGACTACAATCTCAAGTCATGTTTACTCATTTGTATTGAGATTGTAGACCATCACAGGAGCAAGCTTGGAGCAGTGACTACTTTTACAACACACAGGGACCATGGGGAACAAAAGTATCCCCCCTCCAGAAGGAAGGAGTGTCAGCACCAATTCAGAGATGATTTGAAGCGATATTAAAGTTGTATTAATTGACAGCCTTGTAGCAGGCCACGTCCCTCCTCCCGCCCAGCATTTTGGATAGTGGCAAAAGGAGCCTATGGCTTCTCTGCCATCAGTATCCTTCCCCAGGGAAGAACAGGGAAGAACAGGGAACTAAGGATCGCATTGGGAGTGGCAGCGGTGACAGGTCAATTGGGAAGTGAGCAGATCAGTGCGGGTTTCTGCTCACTTCACAAACAATAGAGCCGACCTGCGACCGCTTCTTTGTCACAGGTTGGCTCCAACTATGAGGATCTTTAAGGATCTCCAGCCGAGTGATACTGATCATAGCCGAGTTAAGGTACCTAACCCCCAAGTTTAGTGTCACCAAGCTGAAATCTAGAATGGGAACAGAAGCACCATATAAAAACCACAAAATTGAAGATTGTGCAAGTTTATGCAAATACATTTCCTAGTAAGAACTAAACCCATGACCTCCTTATTAGAAGGTAAAAGTGCCGACTACTTAGCCATAGTAGGAGCTTTAAATATTTTTACTCTGGCCACTTTATTAGATACACCCGTTTAATGCCCGTTAAATTACTCAGCCAATCATATGGCAGCAACTCAACGCATTTAGACATGTAGACATGGTCAAGAAAATCTGCTAAAGTTCAAACGGAGCATCAGAATGGGGAAGAAAGGAGATTTAATTGACTCGGAACAAGGCATGGTTGTTGGTGCCAGACGGACTGGCCTGAGAATTTCAGAAATGGACGATCTTCTGGGATTTTCCCACACAACCATCTCCAGGGTTCACAGAGAATGGCCTGGAGAAAGAAAGAACAAATATCCAGCATGTGGCAGTTTTCTGAACAATGATACCTTGTTGATGCCAGAGGTCAGGAGAATGACCAGACTGGTTCAAGTTGATAGAAAGGCAACCACCATGCGTTACCCCCGAGCTATGCAGAACAGCATCTGACTGCACAACACATCCAACCTTGAAGCAGATGGGCTACAGCAGCAGACGACCACACCGGGCGCCACTCCCGTCAGCTAAGAACAGGAAACTGAGGCTATAATTTGAAAGGGATCAAAACTGGACAATAAAAGATGGAAAAAATGTTGATCTGATGAATCTTCATTTCTGGGGCAAACATGAAAGCATGGATCCATCCTGCCTTGTGTTAGGGGCTCACACAAGTGGTGGAGTAATGGTGTGGGGGGCGCACTTTAGGCCTCTTGGTACCAACTGAGCCCATAAATCTGCAGCAACTGTGTGATGCCATCATGTCAATAGGGACCAAACTCAGGAATGTTTCCAGCACCTTGTTGAATCTATGCCATGAAGAATTAAGACAAAGGGGGCCCCAACCCAGTACTAGCAATGCGTACTCCATAAGTGGCCAGTGAGTGTATTAGACATTTATAATTAGTTATTTGTTTGACAAACGAGCAGGAAACACCCATTAATCCTGCCAAAAATCCAGTCCTGTCATGTGCACTCATCTCAAGCAGCATTTTTTTTAGCCCTGGACAGGTTATCTCTGCACAAAGCAACACCTCCCTCTGGGTTATTGAGCGGGGGGGGGTCAGTGTAACCCAAGGACAAGTTACAGGCAGAATCTGTGAAAAAAACCAGAAAGCCTGAGCAAAGCAGCCACCATATTTAAGAACTGGTAAGCTGCATTATATTACATCGTTTCTGTTCACATTAAAGCCAAATTCCAGGAAAAAAATGGAGGGCTGCTGCAATGACTGTATAGTTTGGGTTTAATATTTTAACATGGGGGAAAGACCTGCTTGAAAGCAAAGGTCTTTCAGAGCAAACATGAACTGGTCTTATTACAGGGAACGCCTTCACAGTAAAGGTAACGTTTACACAGAGGTGGCAAAGGGCAGATGTTTGATTACTGCACAAAGATATCCAATTTAAGAACCCATTCACACCATAGCATTGTGTTAATTGCATGATAATATGCAAACGGCATTCACCATCACACCTAGTATGCATTACTGTTCACAAGGGGTGTTGCATTGCCATTCATTTGAATGGAACCCCAATGCACCTCCCAGCCACTGTGCAACTCAGTGTTCAGTACCGCAATACCGCACGATGGAAAAATGAATGTTTGCACTACTTTTTCACCACAATGATACGGTGTTACACCGAATAAGATGCATTGGGTGCCATTGTAGTGCACCTAGCATACGTTGTGCGATGAACACAATGCTATGAGGTGAATGAGCTCTCAATGTTCTACCTCCTATGGGCCGTCTATTGTGACTCTGTAGAACTGCTGGGGGTTACATAAGCCAACTTTTTTTATTTTTTTCCCAGTCTGAGGTGATTGACTTCATTGTAAAAAGAACAGTAAAGCTGTGGCATTGATGTGCATAATTGCTATGCAGGACTTTGTACATACATTGGGTATATTTGATGGAGGCTATATCGTCCCGATATACGTGCATTGAGGAAGAGGTCTGTGAAAAATAAAGTCTTAACCCTTGCAGTGGGGCCACTTCCCCACTGTAAGGGCTTAGTGTTTTTTTGTCTAGAGAGCTCGCCTGAACCAAGATCCCAGCTGGCTCCTAGACCGGTCCCTTCAGTCTATCTCCTC